CTTTTTTTCTTTTCTCTTTAAAAAGACAGGTTTCTTGGAACTTCCTCTTCTTAGCTCTCTCAGAATTCTACCAGCACATATAAGACGTAGAACAAAAGAAGGATGCTGTCAGTGGTGATGCACACTGGGATCTACCAGCAAAGAAGAACTAGATCTAAAAGCATTGAATTGTGGAGATTACGTGGCCACTGCTAAAATAACGTCCTTTAATGCATAAAAATAAATTACTCCTAAATGTGTTTCCATGGCAGAAGCAGCCACCTGCCATGCAGGTCAGTACTTGGAAACGCTGTGCCAAGGAATGGAGGCTGACTAGTCAAGAAAAGCCAGCCACCACTCCTCTGCCCGTATCACAACTCAGCAAGCTTTGAAGAAAGTGCACCGGAGTTGTCATTTTCCACAATTTCTAAGCATACACTTCAAAATGCTTCACTCCAGGCTAGCAAGGGATGACCTACATGGCTGCAGTACTACTTGCAGAATTTATGACATCGGATCATGGTTACAACTTCATACACTGCACGCATTTGTGCAGAATAGTCCCGCACGTGCATGTTCACCGTAACACATATTCCTGAGAATGCTTAATTAGCAATATTACACAGAATAAAACATTTCTCACGCCTACTTTTAGAACAGAAGAGTAGCATTGTTTTACACATGGGAAGGGGCTCTAAATTTGTGTTTTTCCAAGAGTGTACAGGAGCAAAGAGTGGAGTGCTTCGCAGGAGGAAAGCACCTGTTTAAAATATTTCATATTCCTCCCTGCACTGCAATAATTTAATAGTATTAAATAGTATAATTTAATAGTAACTGCCTCGATTAAAAAAAATCCCAAACAAACAATAAACAAAGCCAACAAAAAGAACCTATGCTGTTTTTAAAGACTAAGTTTAGTGTGAATATATTCTAGAAAGAAACAGTGTCACGGAAAAGAGTGAATCAGTGCCTGTCTCCCAAAGTCTCTGAAAGAAGACACCTTTCTGGAAGTCACGCTGTGACTAAACTAACACCAGCAGAAGGGCAACCATTCCATGGTATATTTTCCACTAGAGGTCAGGCTGAAGGAGCTAATGATCTATTTTAGCCTTCAAAATCCATAAGTGGGAGTTACTAATCAAGATTTGGAAGTTTGAAAACCAGTATTTAATTAATATTGCTTTGCTTCACTTAAAGTGGATTACAAAGACGTGTTTTTCTAAGTGTCCAAAAGCCAGAGGTACTTAATGATGGCAGTACTTTAATGTATGTCGATACAACCTCTCACAGAGCACTCCATGTGCCATCTCAGTTGGTAGGACAAGGTTTGGAAAAGAGAAAAGTTCTTCTTAAACCTCAGCCTTGAAATTAAAAACGTGAGTTTGAATATTAACAGACAACATTCTAGTCAGTTTTAAAAAGGTATTTTTAAAGTTTTGCTTTTTACTTTTTGTTTTTAGAAAGGACGTACATTACAAGCATTTTCCACCAAAAATCTAGATTGAATTTGTTTCTGTAAATAACTAGGAAGAGACACAGCTAAGCACAGACTATATGACCATAACGGGCTTCAGGTGACTCGAAATTTTTCCAAAACCCCAAAGTGATTTAAATTAGGAGCCTAAGCTTTTCTTTTCCTGTATTTTGGTGGCTTATGCAATTCCACCACTTTCAGAAACATTGACCCAGCTTCTTGAAATAAATACCTTGAAGGCAGCGCAGTTCAGATACGCGCTTGCTTCTGAAAATTCAAAGAAACATCTAACGTATCATTTATAGTTTTAAACACCTGCTTTGTTGTGACAGGATGAGAAGTCATACTCAAATGGCAAGTGTTAGCTCCGAGCTCTTTTGCTCTTTACACACAGAGTTACAAACTAAACTGAGGAATTGTTCATGTTTACGCTTCTGAAAATGAAGCAGCCCAGGAAATGCACTCAGAGACAAAATCAGCTCACCGAGTCACGCTATGTCAGCTAGCATTTTAAAGTACCTCATGGTCAACTATCAGAGCCACTTCGAAGAAACACAAAGTACTTTGGAGAAGTAAGAATATAAAATGCCAGGAATAATTGGCAGAGGGAAGGAAACTCGTAGTTCCTCCAGTCACCTGAGATTAGTGGCGGGAATAACAGCCGTAAGGAACAGAAATGAAACCTAGGAGATGTTGGTTTGACCTCATTTTATATGTCTCCTATGCACTAGCCTTTTCTGTACTTCCACCAGGTCAAAAGCAGCATGCCTGCAGATAACAGCCAGTCATTTCATCAGTTACAGATTATTTCATTTACTGATTTTTTAACAGAACCTGATAATAGCAGAGCGAAATCCACACGTGCATGTTTTAAAAGGTGAAAATTCAGATTAGCTTAGTAAAACATTCAACCAATACACTCTTTTGCCTTTACTAGCTCTCCTGAAAATAAGCTAACCTTTTAAAATCTACGGCTGTACTGTAAAAAGTACAGAACACCTCTCTAAGGCATGGGGTGGAGAAATGCAAGAGCTGTTTGACAAGGACCACTCCAACACGCTTCCACGGAGCTGGCAGTCGGAGTTTGACTGAAGCTGGTAAGGCAGATTTCCCAGATTGAGCACGTACCCCACCCAGATGCACAGATGGTGTTTGTGGGAGCAAAGGAAAATAAAATATAGGTTTAAAAAAAAAATGCAAGAGAAACACAGAATAATATTGAATCACTCTAGGTATTTCGAAGGGTTTCCGTTTATCTTTCCTACTTCTCAGCACACAGCGAGTGTGCGTTCGGGGCTTTTAGACCATTGAGCAAACGGAAGGGATTTAAAACTAGTTTTGTTTCAAACGTAAGATCACAGGAATAAAGACAGGCTCCAGGTATTCCTCTTTGGAATGAGATTTCTCAAGAGAGTTTGATGGAAAAGGAGTTAAAAATGCTGTTCCTGCATATGCCTGGCAATGACAATCAGGCTTGTCAGAAGAGCCTTTTCGATGCTGAAGGAAAGGACTCGCTCTGCTGCCGAATTTCAGATGGGTCCCTCTGCACAGCAGCTACTTTCCCATTGTTTTAAACGGATAGAAACACAGAGCTGGAAAGAGGCAAGCTACAAAGAAGTGAGGGAAATACAGCTTTAGATGCTGGTATGATGATATAAGGAGGCAAGACCAGCCACAGGCTGGTCAATCTGAGTTGGCAGGTTGACTCTGATGACAATTGGTTTGGGCCCCACCTCAAGGCTGCAGTCTCATCCCTTCTCCCTCCATCGCTAGTCCTTGTCAAGCTAGGAAGAGCTGATGGCCAATCTTACCTTGTTACAATGATACCCTCTAAGGTAGCTGGTCTCAAGACCCCATGAAAAGCTCGCAAAGATAGAAGGAATAGGAGTAAAACAGCACAGGTAAGAAGTGGTAGAGAAAGATGCAAGGAGAATGAAAGCCCATGCTTCCCATTGGAGTCCCCAGAGGTGTTGATGGGTGCTTAATTCTGCCATGTCAGGAACTGAAGCTCCACGATGTTCTACTTTTAATCATCCTCTCCTAAACTTCCTCCTTCTACAGGATCCAGCTCTTCATTTTTTCCACTCGTTAGTTAGATTTAATTTCTAGTAAACCAATGTTAACTTCTTGATTTCAAGTCCTACCCTTCCCTTGTTTAGTCTATTTTACACTATCCTTGAACGGATATCCTTTTACACTATCCTTGAATGGCAAAAAAAATCTCCCTTCTCTAGTCTAAACCAGTCTGTCTGTACCCTTCCCGACTCCTCCTGCTACTCTTCTCAGTTACAGCCTAACGTTAGACTGCATGGACCTCCACTGGCTCATCTCACCACCATGGGTAGATAGGTAGACCTTCCCGTGATATGCCTTGTGGTATTACATTCACTTCTCCCAAGCAAAGAGAAGAGAAAAGCAAACCCTTTGGCACATGAAGGCAACAGAGAGAACTCTCTGGCTCCTCTCTAGACTACCCCTTACCAGCACAGCTTCTAGGGTAGGAAAGTAAACCAAACATGTTGCACTCTGACGTCCACCGTTTAAAACTTATCAACGACCAGCACGCTGCACATAAAGACTTTTCTGGGTCACTTTTTTTCTTGAAATCTTGTGCTATTAATTAAGGCACAGCTACAAAAATGAACAAACAAAATAGACCAGGAAGAATCTTTAAAGAAAAAATTTCAACCTAACACATCATAGAAAGATACAAGCAAAGAGCAAAATTTTCTATCAGCAACATATTTATGACAGTATGACATGCAAACTAATTATATATTCACATCTGAACTACTTGATATATACATTTGCAAGTGTCACTCATTTTATGCTAAATTTGTTTAAAAAAAAAATCTTCTACAAAGGGTCTACACTTTATTCAGTCACAAAACCTACGTTTGGAGTAACTTCAACAAACAGAATTACTTCAAATTTTCACCAGTGTCACTAAACAGAGTTTAGCCCAAATACTTTTTTTCTTTTCAATCTATTCAACCGACAGAAAAGGAGCTGCAACGGTTTGGGTTTTTTAATCCCAAAGTGGATTATACAAACAACAACTTCACCAAAGATTTTTTACATTAGGCCCAGCATTACTGGTTATATCTTATTAGCAAGGTAAGCATTCTTCAAAGAACTCTGTGATTGGATTTCTTCCTGACACATAGTGACATGCCATTTGCTGGCTGCAGTGAGAAGAGTCAAAATGAAAACAAAAATACAAACACCCTTTTTTTTCCTCTTGTCTTTATTGATTTAGACTTCAGAGCTACAGCCAAAAATAGTGCATCTGTAGAAAATTACCACACATGCTATCAATACAGCATCATCGCACGTTCAGAGTTGTAAGCAATTGACAAATCCAAGGGGAACATTCAATCTAACATTTTGGCAACGCAGCCTATGAATAGGGAATACAGGGAGCGGAATATTTTTTCCTCCAAAAAGAAATATTTCTGAATAGGTATGAAAAACTTCTGTTAAAAAAATGAACTCCGGTCACCACGGAAAACTCATGCTGGCTCATTCAAGACATCAACGTACACTGCTGGAAACTTTGCGTGGAACGTTGAACGGTACACGACTCTGCTACAGGTACAACGCCGTCTTCAGCACTCTGTATGCCATCAGGATGGTCACTGCATACCCAACTGCCCAAGACAGACCTCTGCTGGGCTGGGGAAGCGGGATCAAGTACGCAAAAGTGTGAGAGATCCTCGCCGCGGCGAAGATCCTGAAATGCAGCAAGGCTGTGGACAGCTCAGGGCCAGTAAGAGCATACAGCAGTCCAACGCCAAGAAATGGGACAATGTTTTCAAGGTCATTCAGGTGGCCTCTGGGGAAAGAAGCAAAGTTGGTTTACAGTGTTGAATAAGACACTTGGAGCATCATTATTTTTCAGCATCTTCAGACGAGGCTACTGTTAAAGCCCTAACACAACTGCTGGCCTCCTCTGCAGGGAGGAATGGCTTCAGCTACTGAAATGATTTCGGCGTGTTCACCTGACATCGCTCCGGTCTCTCTTGCCACACCTCACATTTTTAAGCTTCTGATCCTCAGTACGAAAGGTCTTAAGTTTTTCCCCAGGACTTTAGTAATATTAGGGACTTACTTGAGGTATATGAGTCCACCTAGGTTTGCAAGAATGCGAGGAATGGCAGGGAACAGCTGGAATTTTCTTGTAGCCTCTCTCAACCGAACATTAATTAAGTGGATGACTGTGACTGCAACTACTGGGCTTCATGGCCCAGACAGGCTACTCCAATCCCATAAACTCAGTCTGCAGTCTCCACAAAGAAAATGTAAAATATCCTATATATGAAACATTCTATCAAATCTTCATGAAGTTCAATCATCTTGAAGAATGTTATTTTTGAGCATCTAACAGGTGTGACAGTTATGCTTTTCGTTCATTTTCTCCACTACTAAGCACTAAAATAGCTGAAAAATGCTTGAAGTTTTGAAACCGCAATATAATTTACTAAAAATGTATTGAGACTGAACTCCAGATCTTAAAGTATTCTTTCACGCCTCTTCCTAAACCTTCCTTGCTCCCTTTACTTCTTTAGATAGATTATACTTCCAGCCAAATTTACTGATTGAAACAACCTGTAAGCCTTACTAATTACGTCAAATTTCGCAGGCAGCTAGAACCAGAACTCAGTGCAGTTTTGCAGCTGCTTTCTGAACTCATTTATCATTACAAGGGGACAAGTGCCCATTTTTATACAACAAACAGCAAATTAAACAACTCCCCGAATCACTCGGAGACAAAAGGAAAGTTCAGAGCATCTTTACAGCCCACTGAGATCAGACTCTTCTGAGATTTTAATCCAGATGAGCCATACAGAAATATACTAGCCTTCATGGAACCACAGTCATCTACATTTGCAAGGATGCACTGTTCTGAAATCTGAGCTGATACTCATTTTCAAGATACTACCTAATGGCAGCTTAAGTGAGAACAGTTCATTCACATTCAAGTTTTTGGTATAAAAACATTTATAGCAAATAAACTGTTAGCTTCATTAAGGAACGATGATATGGAAAGCATTCCATTAAAGCTTTCCTCGTTAGCACAAGTGTATCAAACAGCACCTCTAAAGTTACGATTTTGGTAACTGAAAATTTTGCCATCAGACACATAAAATTAAATAAGCTGCAACATTTAGGCCACTGAAATACAGCTTGCATTCTGCCATGCACCTTGCTAAACAAAATACACACACTGCAGGTTGTACACTGCCATACTATTTATAGCATTCTTCCAGAAGGCCGGTCAACTTTCCTGTACAACTGACACACCAGTGAGCATCCTCGATTCAATCTAGCAAAAAGAGCACATGCTTCGACTCCCACTCAGTACGATCTGCCAGATTAAGGCCCTTGTTACAACTCTGGAGTTCCATGACTTTAACATCATTTTACTCCTCTTCCCCCTGTTATTTCCTTTACATTTTAGGAAAAGATGCAACTGTTGTGACGGGTGTTCAAATTAGGTAGAAAGCCAATTCACCCTTAATGTACATACCTTTACACTTAATGCTTCATACTAAATCAATTTACAGTCATATTTTACAATCTTCTCACCACTTCCCCCATGCACACAGGATACTATCCAAGAGTTAGCTATTATAACCAGACAATGACTTCTTAATTTCAGTACGCATGCTGACCATTTGAATGTGGAATGGTTTGTTCATTCAGACAAAGCAATGTATTAGGTCATTACACAACCCATAGGTTTGCCGAAGAGAATGGGGTGACCTTAAATCCTTGATTTAGTACTATTCTGCTATTTAAAATAATTTTTAAAGACTCCTGTGCATTACCTGCGTACACGTTCGACATCTGCATCAGTCCGCAGGTATTTTTTTGCAGCCTCGCCTTTACCATGTGATAGTGTATCTTCTGGGTTGACAAATGCCTATTTCAAACATAAACACACAAGAGACATTAGAAGCCAGAATGTTTTTTCTAGTCCAGGCAGCTTGCTATAAAGGTCACTCTTTTTACTATTGCGTCTATAACCTCAAATAACTTACCTAAAGTTAAATGTACGGGTAATAATATATTGTTCACCGTGTTACTGTTTCCTTGGGCCTCGCCTGTAAGTAGGTGGCGTGCTGACAAATTAATGTAATGTAATTTATGCATGTAGATAAAGCCTTCTTGTAAGATGGATGAGCATGGCAGATGACTGATACTCAACCTGAAGTAACGCCAGTGGGCTGAAGGAACATAAGGACCTGGAAGGTAGAACTACTGTCTGTACTGCCTAAGTCTCTTTTTCACTTTCCTTGACAAATTATCCGAAAGCCCTTTTGGATCTCCTCCCTCTTCAGAAGTCTACACTGCAACAGCATCCAAGAGACTCAGCCCACCCTCATTTATGACCAAATAAGGCTGTCCCTTTCCTCTTCGGTACAAATATTTCCACTTTTATGACCCGTTATTACCTTCAAATACTGTAAGACACTATTTGAAAACAACATTTAATTCAGTTAGCACAGACTGCAGTAGATCTCTCCTTGCTGACACAAGTGGTAACACATGCATTCTGCAGGCCGTTCAGCCTATGCAGGGTTAAGTCAAGAAAACCTTTCCATTTTAGGAGAGCTACATGATCGCTTTCTGAGGCAGACTTGATCCCTTTCTGTGAAATATCCTTGGCCTAAAAATTCTGGAGACACACTAGCAGTATCAGTATCAGCAACACTTTATCTTCTCTCACTTCACTAACTGCTTTCCTCCAATTTTTCTTAGTATTTTAAACACTTTTTGATATTAATAAAAACATTTTTACTAATTTGTCTGTTTTAGTATTACTGTCCACCATAAGAAAACCAAGTACTCCAAATTAATGAAGGCCCTATTGTCACCTGCATACATATGGATCATAATATGGTATGAGCGCTAAGACAGGACTCCACTGGACCTACATATAGGACCAGTACAGCTGAGGTGCTTCCACCAGAGCAAAAGGAAGTAAGGTTACAACACAGACATCTGGGTCCTATTTTGAACATACAGGACAGGCTGTGTGCTCTACTATACTCAATCTTCAGCTGTGCCAAAGACCTAGAAAGCTACCAGAAACCAGCAGTAGCTCAAATGCTGTGCCATTAGTACTTCATGAACAAGGGAACAGTTCAGCTGGGTTCTCTCGCACCCAGCAGGAACAAAAAGCAGCATTTCAACTGAAGGACTGCAAAAAAAATCCTTGAAGCACACACCATCTTGCAGAAGCAGATCTCACAAGAATAGCCATGTTCAGGCTCAAATAGTTCATGTTCAAACTCAGGGCTCTTTCAGCCCAGGACCAAGTGTTTCCAACAGTGGCCATGAGCAGATGCCTAGAGAAGACCAAGAACAGGGCAAACACAAAAAGATGCTTCCCATGAGCACTCTCTCCTAAGCTAGATCCAGCCTGTGCATTATTTAGCAAACCTCAGTGGATCTTTCATATACTTATCTAGCCTTCACATCGATCCATGTAAATTTTCAACCTGCTTCACACTCTAGAAAAAAATTAAACTTTTTTTTAAGATAATGACCTACCTGCAATGGGAAGGCTAAAACAACTTAGAATGTAAGAGCTTTAAAATTACTGGATGAAAGGGTTATAAAGGCATAAAAATCCACTTAATATCCCCTATTCTGATCCTACTAGTTGGTTATCCATGTAACGTGGCTCCATATCCCATTTTATTTGCTTTATAAATTGGGTACCCTGGACATCAGCTTTCTGCAGAAGACAGTGGAAACTACAGCTATTAAAAACTCTTACTTGAAAATAATAGAAATGTTTTAGAAGGGTAGAGTAAGTCAAATGCAACTATAAGATACAGTCTCCTAATTATCTCCTAATTAGGTTAAAGACGTCGTCCATTTGAGACCAGCAAAGCACCAGCACGCCACACTCAGAATATCATTAGCGAAGGGAGGAGGAAGAAAAAGAACAGCACCAGTATTTGAAAGCTGAAAAGAAATGAAACATCTGTGGTACCTCTGTATTTCAATACAAATTTCTACCAGAATTTCAATCAATCTACCAAATTTCAATCTATTCCCAATTTCTTACCTTTTTTGTGATTCTGAAGTATGCTGTTATAACACTCATTAGCATCATTTTTAGAAGAACAACAGTTGCATAAGTAGCATAAGCCCTGAAGACTTCATTGTCGATTAACTGGGTCAATTTAGCCATTTCTCCACTTCTCACTGATGACCTTTAAAAAACATTAAAGTTAGGCTAACATCCCAGCAATCCAAAGTTCTGACAACAAGACTGTCAGAATAGCCTTTTTATTTAGCATCACTGCAATAACAGCACAATTTTGCCACTATGAAAAGTTAATTTTCAAACAAATTTATTTTTCCTCGGTTTATTTTCATAATGGCATGATATAATACTTTAAGATGAGAAATTATATTATCATTTAGTATTTCGCTTCCATTGTATGCGCTTATTAAACTATCAAAATATAAACCACCAAAATATTTAATGTAATTGCAGAAACAAAATTTAGTCACAGAAATCAGTACACTTTTGCAACAACACAAGGAGTTAGACCAATTTTAAATCGATTAATTTAAACTAGTGAATTTCCCTAAACAGTTACCAGGATAGAAAATGTGATGACATGTGTTACATATTATAGCGTTTAAAGAGGAAAATTTGTATTGCCTATCTTTTTTTTTTTTTTTTTGGTAAAATGACACAATTATAATCGCACTTCAGCTTCCATACTAACCAGTATCTTCCCATCCAGCAATAACTTTTGATCAAACCGAGTTAAACACGCATTTTTCTCCTTTGAGACCTTGTTCTTAAAAATTGCTTTTAGCATGATTCACAGGCAAAGATTAAGTTGTAATGACAAAAAGGCACAGAACTATTTATGCTTTTATCATGGGAGGTTTAAGCTAATGAACTCTCTTTCCAATGAGACCATACCAAATCCACAATCCTACGGAGGTGGTACCTTTTATCAACACCATAGAGTTAAGAATGTGATGAGGACTTAATGCAGGTAAAACAAAAAGTATGTCCCCTTGCACATTCGATCTGTGCTCTGCAGAGAGCAAGGCTTTTGCCTCATCAACTGCTTCAATCATGCACTTAATGAGCAGGAATCCATAAAACTAGTACGTCCTAGCTTCACTCAAGACCAAAATAAGCGTAGTTTCTGTTATAGTTAATTTCATTATTTCATGTGATAACATTTTAACCACAGTAACAAAAAAATATTAACTCGATTACAGCTCTGACAATCTCTCATCTTAAAACTTTCAGAACAGAGTCACTGCCAGCTATAGCCTAAGAGAAACTGGGTAGTTTCTGTTATAGTTAATTTCATTATTTCCTATGATAACATTTTAACCATAGTAACAAAAAAATATTAACTCAATTACAGCTCTGACAATCTCTCATCTTACTTTCAGAACAGAGTCACTGCTAGCTATAGCCTAAGAGAAAGTGAGCAAGCCAAGAGCAGTAGAAGACTTGCTCTGAAGGCACATCCTTGGTGGGGGGGTGGGCAGGAGGGAAGTAAGCAGCTTCTTGCTCAGGGAAACAAATCTGGACCTGGACCTGCCTGGCTGTGGTGATGGGATTTTGCTCCCTCTTTTATCCTTTCCAAAAGAGTGCTTGGGTCACTGGGTCTAGGGATGACGAGAAATGCAGTATGGCTTTCCTGCCTCTCACATCCCAGTACACCAGTTCTCAAGATAATCAGCGACTCAGCAAAGATTTTTCTCAGCAGTTGCTAAAGAACCTGCATAGTTTCACACAACAAAAAGAAGGTAAACCTGTGGCTTCAAAGAGCTTTTCCTTACTGGATTTTAAAGCCGTGCTGAAAATACACCCAAGAACTACGCAAAGTCATGGAGAAAGTGTTCACTGGTGTCCCGGCGTGCTTCCCACTGGAACTACACCACATATACCCATTTTCCCTACTTGTAGGCCTGGCTTCTCCAAACTCTCCTAAAGGTCAGGCCTTGCCTTCACCACGAAAAGCAAAGACCAAAACCTTACTGGAAACAAAAGAATTTGCCGTTTTAACACGAGCAGAAAAGCCAAAACGAACCCCACATCCTAAACCAGCCCGGGGCTTACCGGGATATGCCCACGAAGACTACAAACAGCCCGATCTGCAAACGTAACACCTCCCTGCCGTGCGAACGCAAGACCTGGGCCTGCTAAGAGAACAAGTCTAGATCCCACCTAAAGGGTCTTACAAGGAAAACGGGTAAAGACAGTGCCCGGAAAGCGGCCGTGCCCTCGGCGGGAGCGCAGCT